CATTTGTTTTTATAGAGCATTAACAAATAATATTGATCGTCTTTTGCAAATTCTTGAATTACAATTACAAATTGATATAAAGAAATCTTCTTGGAATGATTATTTATTGAAAAATGTTATAATTACAGGTCGAAGTGGTAGTGGAAAGAAAACAATTGTTGGTGAATGTTGCCAACGTTTATGGAATAAACATTTAATTTATTATAAACTTGTTGATTGTCTTAGTTTTAAAGGTAGAAAACTTGATAATATCGTAACATCATTTTCTCAAACAATTGATGAAATGATCTTTCGTCAACCATCAATATTAATTCTTGATCATTTTGATGATTTATTTCCTAATGAAACAACAATTACCGATGCAAATATTATATTAGCTACACAAAAATTATCACTTTGTAAGTTAAATTATTTTATTTTTAGTTCAGAACAAAAAGATTTCATTTAATAAATTTTAGCTATACGTGAATTATTTAATCGTACTCAACAAATTCATAAACAATTTATTATTATTCCTATTGTAAAACAAATAACTAATATTCATCGACAATTTACTGAGGAAACACCTTTATTTGCTTCACAAATATTGGCGATTGAACCATTGAATATTGTAACTTATTTCATTAATTATAAATTTCTATATGTATTTTTCTTCTAAATCATTAGATTCAACGAACATCAATTATTAAACAATTAATTGAAAATAAAAAACAAACTATATCAGAAACACTTTTACATTCTATTGTCAATCGAACTGAATCATTTGTAATTAAAGATTTATATACATTAATTGATAATGCTTTATTACATTCATGGATGAGTTTTGGTAAGACAATCATTAATAAATTATTTTCTCATACTATGAAATGACATTTTAGAGGATAGACAGTTATCAAATATTGATTTTGATTATGCATTTGATGAATTTAAACCTATTAGTGTTAAATTACTTGATGATGATAAAAAGAAAACTAGTCAAACAACATTACATTGGTCGGATATAGGTGGTATGGTTGATCTTAAACAAGAACTTATTCAAACAGTTCAATGGCGTTTTGAAGTAAAAAACTAGAAATTCTTTTTCAACTAATTTAAGAATATTCTTATCTAGCATTCAAATTATTTTGCTAATGCACCTATACGATTAATATCAGGCGTTCTTCTCTATGGTCCATCTGGTTGTGGCAAAACTCTTCTTGCTCAAACATTAGCAAATGAATGTAAAGTCAATTTCATACAAGTTAAAGTAAATATTTTCAATCGTATTAATTCATAATCTAATAGAAAATTCTAGGGTCCAGAATTATTAAATAAATATGTTGGATCAAGTGAACAAAATATTCGAGATTTATTTAATCGAGCACGATCAGTTACACCGTGTATTATTCTATTTGATGAATTTGAAGCTCTTGTACCACGGTAATCGGAGATTATATGTATTCATTGAGAAACATTAATTTATTTTAGACGTGGTCGAGATTCTGCTGGTGTTACTGATCGAGTTGTCAATCAATTATTAACTGAATTAGATGGTGTTGAAAGTCTTGGGGGTAAATATTTTTGTAATTTTCAAAAAAATTATTTTATAAATTGTTCTTAGATATTGTTGTTATTGCTGCAACATCTCGTCCGGATTTAATTGATCCAGCTTTATTACGTCCAGGTCGTTTAGATAAACATTTATATGTTGGTTTTCCATCGAAATTAGATATAGTATCAATATTAAAAATTTGGACAAAGAAAATTCAATTAGCAAATAATATTAAATTCGAAGACGAAACATTTTTGTCACATTGTGAAATGTATACTGGTGCGGATATAAAAGCATTGGTTTATAATGCTCAATTAGCTGCATTTGATGAATATCAATCTAAACAATCCATAATTATTCATAAACATCATTTAATGTCAGCTATTAAACAAACACCTTATTCAATACCAGTACATATGCGTAATGCAAATGAACATTTGTAAGTAGAAATTAATTTATAAAGAAATTTTTTCTAAAAATTTTCTTATATTTTCAGTTATCAAAATTGGAGGAAACCTATTACAATCGATCGGCAAACGACATCTTTAGCTTGATTTTTTTGTTATCTTTTTTTGATTCCGATAATAAACGAAAACAATGTTTTTCTTTTCAGATAAGCTTGTTATTGTTAAAATACTGAGTCGTTTTCGTTTTTTTGCGTCGTTCTTTCAATAAAAATATTCAAGCTGTTAGAGAGAAGCTTCTAGACGTTTCTCCAAATGAAAAAATACATAAGATAAATCAAATCATGAATGTTTTATTTTATAACTTTTATCTTAATAAAATCATAACTTATGTATTTAAGAAAAAAGAAAGAGAAGTTTATTGTGTGTGTATATGGTTTGTTTTTTTTCCATGGTTTTTTTTTTGTTAAACGTATGCAAGTTTTTTCTTCGTTTTTCTACACAAGACATACAATGCCGATAACACATGAATAGACAAAAGAATAAGACGAACAGTTGAAGAAGAAAATGAATAAACAGCTAATGAGAAAAAAAAGTGATTACAACCAACACACACACACAAAGAGATAAAGAGAGAAGAAGAAGAAGAAGAAGAAAAAAAAACAGAAGAAAGTTGACATCGACGAACGAATAAAAATATAAAGAAGCGCAGTTGATAGAAGTGTTAAGAGAAAGAAGAAAAAAAAGAAAAAAAAAAGAGAAAAAAATGTTTTGTTTTTTTTTTAATGTTGTTTTGTCAATTTGGTTGGTGACCGGTTGTATGCGTGTGTGTGTGTGTGTGTTGTACACAGACAGAAAAAAAAATGTGGGAAGTGTTATACGAAACAATTTTATTGATGTTCTTCAGGTGGATTGGCTTCATCGGCATCAGGTGCATCGCTCGTCCATAATGTGAGATTGTCTCGAAGTAATTGCATGATAAGTGTACTATCCTTGTATGAATCTTCATTGAGTGTATCAAGTTCAGCAATAGCATCATCAAAAGCCTAAAATATAAAGAAAAGTTATTCTAGAGAAAGAACAAAGAATTGTGTTTACTTGTTTAGCCAAATGACAAGCACGATCTGGTGCATTGAGAATTTCATAATAAAAAACGGAAAAGTTCAAAGCAAGACCAAGACGAATTGGATGTGTTGGTTGCATTTGATTTTTAGCAATATCAAATGCATCATTATAGGCACGTTGCGATTCTTCAATAACTTCTAGAAAAATTTTAAAGAAAATATAATTTGATAATTAATTTGTCGCTGTTTTTTTTCTCTCTTTACTTTGTCGTTCATCGCCAGTAGCAACTTCAGCTAAATAACGATAATAATCTCCTTTCATTTTCAAATAGAAAACTTTTGATTCAGCTGTTGTTGCTTTTGGAATAAGAAATTTATCAAGTAATGTCTACAAAAGAAGAAAATTATGAATAAAAAAACAAATTTTCTTTTTGATAATTTTTCATTTACCAAAACTTCTTGACAAATATCTTTCAATTCTTTTTCTATTTTTTCACGATATTCTTTGGCCATTTGTTGTTTACGTTCTGAACCTTCAGTTTTTTGTTCAATACTTGAAATTACACGCCATGATGAACGACGTGCACCAACAACATTTTTATAAGCAACCGAAAGTAAATTACGTTCTTCATTCGTTAATTCACTATTTGCTTCAGTAACCTTTTTCATAGCGTTTGCCATATCATCATATCTAAAATATAAATCTTAAAATCTAGGAAACAAAAAATTATTATTATTATTATTATTTACCGTTCGGCTTGTTCGGCCAATTTAGCGCGTTGTACTTCTTCTTCTTTGTTCGACATGATTATTGATTAGATTTGGCTTGATGAAATGATATTTGCTAGTAAAGATAGATCTAGAAAAAATCAAACAAGATACAATCTTTTTTTTCTTCTGTGTTATGAGATGAAAGAACTAGTGGTATAATTGAGCAAAAGATCGCCGTATGTTTGCCCGTTCTCAGAATATGTCAGGCTTAGAATAAGGATGCGCGTATGTGAGCATAAAAATAGACTAAAACTATTTATTTGCCTCTCTTTTTCTCTCTCGTCTCTCGGACGCGCTTACATCGGCAGTAGCAGCGAGCAAAGAGTGCTAGACACATACAGGACAAGACGAACGTTGTGATTAGTCATTCGGACGAACAGAACGAACATAGGACGGAGAATAATATATATTGTATGAGGCAGCGTCATTGCTTAGCAACTAAATAAGACAGACACGAACGAGATTGAAGAGATGTCATGATAGATGACGTTAGTAAAACAAATTTTCTATATGACTCATAATGAGCCATACGTTCAATGCGTGATACAGCGCGTTTTTGTCTATTAATCAAGCGTCGCGACTAAATATGTATGCTTCACTTTGAAGAAATTTTGTTCAAATAAGAAGTGTAAAATGAGAATTTGTTCAACATATAAAACCATACAAATGAACTTTCTTTTATTTTCGATTATTCGGTTCAACAAATTGATATCTATTTGAATCTTTTCATAATTACATCTATGTCAATTCATATCTAAATCAATTCTCACTAATAAGTTATTAATAAAATGTTCATAAAGAAAAGAGAATACTTTTTAATTACTCTCTTCAATATTCGACAAAACATATGTTTCTATTGATTGTACAAAAGAAATCTATTTTTGATCATTGAATGATTATAATCAACATAAATAATTGTGTTTTTTGTGTGTTCATTGAATAAATAGTATAGTCATTGTTGAACTATTAATTCCACTCAATTGAAAGTCTTTTTTTTCTGTATATTATTTTAAGAAGGATAAATCAGCTTCTTTTTTTTCCTATGCTTTTTTATTTCTGAAACAAAGAACAAAATAACATCTCACATTCATAGAAAAAACGAAAAACTACAATAGTTTTAGAAAATGAAAAAAAAAGAGAGGCTTTCTTGTTTATTTTTTTTTCTTTTTAAGTTGAACTACTAGAACATTTAATATAATAAAGAAAACAAACGACTATCACAGATTAATTTTATGATACAGATTCATTTTGTGTATCATCTTTTATTGTTGTATTCGTTGTTGATGGATCATTTTCACCAAAATCAATTGTCCCATCGATTGTCATCGATGTTGTTGATGGTGATGAATTGTTTACAGTTGCATTTGCTGTATCAGAATATTGTTGTGTACTATTTGCTTGAGGAACACCAATTGGTGATGTTAATTGTTGATCATTTACTGTAAATGGTGTTTCGGCATTTGACATATAATCATCAGCTGCTATAGCTGAATCAAATGAAATTGGTAATGTTTCATGTTTCTTTTCAGTATCTGCTTCTTTCTAAAAAGAGATTTATTTGAAAATATATTTAATATTCAGTTTTTAAAAAACTATCGTTAATTATTATATCCCAAATGAAACTAGTCTATCAGAATGATATTAAAAAAGAATTTCTGTTTTGACAGCTATGATATCAATATTTTACCGTATAAATAACTTCTATAGAGTAATCGTTGGATATTCTATTTATCACGATATATGAATGATTTCTTACTTGATTATCATTATCTGATTGATAGAGATCATTGACAATTTCATTATTATTTCGAAATAACATTACTAACATACACGAATCATCTTGATCATTTTGAACTGTTATTGTAACATTTTCAGTTGGAGTAATATTTTTAATAACTTCTTCAATTGCTTTTTTTTGATTTTCTTCTTTAACACCATATAAACGACATTTTTGAGCTAATGGTGATTGTTTTAATAATTCGTCATTATTTAATAAATAAATATCATCATTAGTTTTATTGACAAGAATATTTCCATAATCAATACATTGTACATCATAATTCTCATTATTAATTGAAAGAATTTTTCCACGAAAATATTTTTCTTGTTCATTATCAAATACAATACATAAATCATTTAGATTCCATTGATTTGATGTTTGATGTTCACCTTTATATGTTTCTAATAATTCACACATTTCACAAATAAGTGTATCACTATCAGGTAATATATGAATATAAAAACAATCTTTATTTGTACCTGATATATTTGCATTTAATGTTCTTGGTTGATTATTATATATTTGATTATCATTTTCAGAAAATTTTATACGAATTATAGATTGATTTTCATTAATAAAATAAAAATCAATTGTTTCATTTTGTTTTTCTTCAATTAATGGCAGAACAGATTTTGTCCATGTTTGAGATGTTTGATTTTCTAAAGAATATTTATGAGCTTGTGCTTCAATTTGTTTTAATTCATCAGGATAAGAAAACAAATGATCAACAGGTACATTTTCATCAAGATTTCCATAATCAAGAAAGTAAACAGCATATGTTTTTGTTGAATCTGAATAAGATTCAATACGAGCCCGATAATAACTTTCATCATCAGAAAATTGAGCAATAATATGATCACCGATTTCGTATGAAGAATTATGTTTATTTTCTTGAACAGCCTTATCAATTAGTTCATTTATTCGTTCTATAGTTGATACAGAATCAGGTAATAATTGTAAATAAACAATTGGATTAATTTTATCAAAATATGTTAAAGTTCCTTGGCGATATTTTGTTGGATTAGCTAAAATATAAAGTAAGAGATTTGAATTCAGACATTTTCAGCTGATATTTCGCGTATAAGTAGAATCAGATGATACTAGAAAAATTCGGGGACCTTTCGCCATTCTTCTCGAAGTATGAGCATCTTGATGGACTTACCAGCTATGAGAAGAGGTTTACTAAAAAACCAAACTATTGAAATTTCGCTGGCACATAGGTCCTATAATCACTATATGACTCTAAGGACCTCAGCTAAAACGAGTGCATCTCTTAAAAAATTGAGTTTTTGATAAATCTTTTGTCATAGCTGGCAAGTCCAGCAAAATAACCATAATTCGAGAAAAAGGCGAAGGGTTCGTATCCTTTGAAAATTTTTCTATTACCGTCTCAAGAGATCTAAATCAATTCGGACGGTTCCCCTCGTAAGCTATACTTCCATCAATATCAGTAGAAATTTAATAGACTTTTGTTACTATTGATCAAGAATAGGGAAACCAAAATTCCTTTAATCTTCTCTAGTAAGACCACCTCACATACACCCTCAAGAACAATATGATGCTATTCGTGCTCGTTCCTTTTAAACAATTATTTATCTACCTTCTGTTTCTGATTCACTCTTTTTTCGTTTGATATTTGTTGCTACAGTCAATGAATTTCCAACAGGTGATAAAATTTGATCATTATTTCTTTTACATGTTGTACTTGTTGATCTTTCTTGTTCTTTAACTGTTGCTGTTGTTGTTGTACTTGATTGATCATCCATATCAACACTTGTATCATTTTTATCATTTACTATTGATTGATTGGAAAATTTTTCGTTAAAACATTCTCCATTCGTATAAATTTTAACATGAAATACATTCATATTTTTATTAATAATAGAATATTCAACTAAATTCGATTCTAAATATTCTTCAAGTTGTTTAAATGCATTATCTAAATCATTTTCCGAAATATTATATAATTCACATTGTTTAGCTTGATATGAATGTTTTTTTAATTCTTCATTACATTTTTTTAATGAATTTTTTGGACATATATACGTATTTCCAAAATCAACAAAATAAACTTGAACATTTTCACCTAAATCTTCTTGAATTAATGCACGATATGGCGCATCTTCAAATGTTGATACAACCATTGAATTAATAGAAATTTCATCAGAAGATAATTCATCATTAGCATTTGTTACTCCATCATTAATTATCTCCATTATTTTTTCATCATCTTGAATATAAAATTGATGTTTATCAAAATCAATATAAACAATAAGACCTTTGATTTTATTGTCTGATTTTTTTTGAATAGCATTATTTTCTAACATTAAATTTTCAATATCATCTGATCGAAGAATATATTTATCATTAGAAAGATTTTTTTCAAGTTTGCCATTAAATACTTTTTCAGCACATTTTTCAATAAGTTCATCTTTATTAAATTTTTCATTAACTAAAAGAAGAAAATAGAAAAAAAGGAAAAATAGATTCTTCAATTTACCTTCAACATTTGGTAATGTACAATGATATGCATATAGTGGTTTTTCACAAAATTTTTTTGATATCTGTCGAATTGATTGTTTATTAATATCAAGTGTATCACCAAAATCAACAAAACGAACATTTGTTTTAATTAAACTAACTGATAGAATAATAGCACGATACCAACAATTATCTGAATGTTTTGCTAAACAAATTTGATTTGGTTTAAAAGAATCTGAATCTAATTCAGGTGCATCTTTATATTCAGATTGTAAATCTTTGGATAATTGTTCTAATTCATTAGCTTTGGAATATGATTGAATAAAAAAATCATTTGGTGTTTCGACATGACTGATAGCAAATTGAAATGTTTCTTTAGGAATTTCATTGTCAATAAAACGATCACCAGATTCGAATGATTTAGTAGCGGATCTAATACTGCCCCAACCAGTAAATGGTTTTGTTGAATCATCATTATTATTATTATTCTGATCTCTAAAACCACCAGATCGTCCACCGCGATCACCACCTCGACCTTTAAAAATGAATAATTTAGTTCGTATAAATAGAAAACAATTAGATTACAATAGATAATTACCTCCTCGTTGGCCACCACGATCACTAAATCCGCCACGATCACTAAATCCGCCACGATCACTAAATCCACCACGTTCACTAAAACCACCGCGGTTACCAAAACCACCACGATCACTAAAACCACCACGATCACCAAAACCACCACGTTCACTAAAACCACCACGTTCACTAAATCCACCACGATCACCAAATCCACCTCTTCGTGGTGCGTTATCTCGACTACCATCTCTACCACGATAACTTTGAAATCCATTGCCTCGTCCTCCTCGTTCACTATTATTAAATCCACCACGGTCTAAAAATTTTCGCAAATATTAAATTAAAATTTTAACAAAAATTTACGTACTAGCAAATCCTTGTGATCGTTGTCCATTATCATTATCATTTTGATCATCATTAAAATTATTTCGATTTCCACTATTATGATCTTGAAAGCCTCCAGTGCGACCTAAGCAAAACTATTGATTATAAATAATTAATTCAATCAAATACTCACCACCTCGATCAGTGAAACCACCTCGATCAGCAAAACCACCACGATCTAAATATTAAAAAAAAAGAAGAATGAAAATAATCATTTTTGTATAATTTCTTACTGCCAAATCCTCCTGATCGTTGTCCATTATTTTCATTATTATTACGATCATCAAAACCAGTACGACCTAGTTGAGAAACAAAATCAATTTTGCATTTTAATAATTTTATTATTTTAGAACTTACCTCCTCGATCAGCAAATCTGCTACCACCACCACCACCACGACCTTTAAAATAAAAAAAGAAGATAATAAAAGGTTATGCAAATGAATATAGTTTTAGACGAGCTAATATTTTCTTTATGTATAATTATCTTCCTGTGAAAGACAATCTTGTAATATTTATCATCGCCTGTGGAGAAAGGAAAATAATGAATATAAGTTTCTACCCCTATTCAATATAATATTTCTTTCAGATCATATTTCATAATTAAATTAAGATACTAGTTCTACGAAGTAGTTGCATAATTCGTCGATTCTGATATTCGTCATAGAGATTCTTTTCATATATCAGTTAGGAATAGAAAACTTCAATCGTTTATTTCGTATTTCTTACTGGCAAAATTTGTTGAACGTTGTCCACCATTTTCATTTTCATTGTCATCATTATTTCGACTGAAAGTTCGACCTTGAAAACCATTTCGATCTAATTCAAAAAACATTTTTATTATTTTATTAAGAAAAAATAAATAAAATTTTTACTTCCTCGATCAGCAAAACCACCTCCACGATTATTTCCACTTCTTGGTTCATCATTAGAAAAACCTTCATTTCGATTACGTTGTTCATCATTATTAAATTCTCGACCTTATATTTCAAAAAAAGAAAACAACTTGAATATTTATTCTTAAATTTCTTTACCATATGGACGATTTTGTTCAGTTGGTGTTTGTTGATTTTCATTTGTTACTCTTGATATCGGTTCATCTTGTTGTTGTGGTCGTGAAAAACGTGTTGATGGTTCACTTGCAGTAGGTTGATTTACTGCAAATCGACCTGGTTGTGCACGTGTTCCTCCTGTTAATAATTTTTGTGGTGCACGTAAATCATCATTTGTTCGTTGTACATTCATATCCTGTTGAACTTTTGTATTATGTATTCTAAATAAATTTATTCTCTCAATGCAAAAAAAGAATATTCGAAATAAATATCTTACTCAAGTGATTGAATAGCCTGTGCAACCTAAAATAAAACAAAAGATTTTTATTTGCTTAAAAGAAAAAATGATTAATTATACCACTGGAATAGTATCATTTGAAAGAAGAACTTGATTAACTGATAAATCAGATACTCTAACTTCAACAGGATAAAATCCATTTATTGCAGCTCCTTGCAGAGTAATTTGAACCACTTGCTTAAGAATCATTTTTTTAAATTTACGTGTGATAGTAGCTGTACTAGACTAATATAAAAGAAAAATCATTTTATTTTGTTTTACAAAAAACTCTTTCTTACAGATTCATCATAATTATGTAAACGAAATAATTGTGCAAATGCTGGTATGGTTAAATATCTTTTATCAAGTTGTAATAATTCTGATGTGTCTACAATAATTTCATCACCACGATCAACAAGTCTAACTAATACTCTTGATTCTGATTCACGATGTCTAAATGAAAAAAAGATTTTTTTTCGTTTAAAATTAAAAAAAAAAGGAAGAAAAAATTTACTTGATTATAGCACGATGATATAAATCACCTTGTTGAATTACACATGCTTCACCATCGAATAACAGACTAACACTTATTGATTGATCGTTTGCATTATTATTATTATACACATCTTCAAAATGTTTTTGAAGTGAATCTAATTCCTTTGTACGCTGTTGAGAATAACCGTAGAATTCAAGAGCACTATATACGTGAGTGATGATAAAATTTCCATTCTCTAAATTAATTTAAATCGAGATTTTCAATTTATGAATTTTTTTAATAATGAATACATACGAGGTGGAAATGGAGGACGAATCTCCGCTGATGAATCCATGGATGACCTTAATAAATTAAATTAGGTTAAACATTCAATAGCTCGATATTAATCTTCTCATAAGTATTCTATCAATTTTTACAATTATACATTCATACTGTTATAATAAATTTCAAGTACAATTTATAACACTATTGATGTGTGAAATAATAAAAATAAGAAGGTGTCTATAAACAAACAGAATTTAGAAAAATGACTCGTGCTACAGTGCAATCAATGGTTACATTTTTGAGTAAAAATGTATGAAATTTCTCTACATTTTATATCACTACGTGACTGAACTCATTAGAATTATGATTGATATAGAAATTGAAAATTATTACATCCGAAAACAATCAAGTCAATTGTAACTCGATTAATACAACATCGTAATAAAAATTATTTCAAAGATATCAATAGTATCCTAGGTATAAACATAGAATAGATTACTCGTAAATATTTTGAATTATTAATAGCCCAAGTCAACGAGACTTCAACTTTATTTTTCTGTTCTTACGTTGTACTAGAAGCTTGTTGAACAACCGGTTTTTGTACTACATGAGTTTGAGGTTGTTGAGTTGTACTAGTTGAATTAGTATAATAATCATTTTGTGGTGTCAATCGTTGCGATGGCTGTTGGACTATTGAAGGTGGACCTGAAAATCCAGGTGGTGCTCGTCCAAATGATCGTTGCGATTGATTTGTATTATAATTTGTTGGTTGAGATGTTTGCATGTTTATACGAGATGCAAGATTTTTCTGAAAAAGAAATGTTCCAAGATCTCCCACTTCTAAAAAGAGAAAAAAATGATGTATATCTATCGATTAATATATACATTTTTCTTTTGAATCTGTATGGAGGTCACATGGATAAACTAATCGTTTACTATTCGAAAGAAAAGAATAAATTGAATTCAAGAATAGATAAAGAAAAAGAGATTAATCACGCTACGACGTTGTTACCCAGAATTTAATATAAATAAACAGAGAAGCGAAGCACTGGATAAAGATAAATAGATGACGCTGATAATCGAATTTTTATCATTTTCTTTAGTTTAGATTATATTTAAACTACAAAAAATATCACACACGATAAAGTCATACTGAAACTTATTCTGTATGTCTTTTAATCATTCATACAGAAACTTCAACGGTTTAGTTGAATAGTAACGATCATCGCTGTATTATATAAACAAAGAATATCATGAATCGCCGTTATTCACTTAGTTTATCATTTAGTATCAAAGAATATCAGTTATATATCGCCGAGATTCGAATTTTGTTTTTTTCATATTGTTTCTTCGCAATGATCACTATCTCGTAGACAATAGTCTAATGAATATTTTATTTATTATTATAATAACTTAACTAATGATCATCTAGTCAACAGGTATCAATTTGAATACTGTAACTAAAATTTCAAAACTTTGACTAACGAATAACGCCACATTTTAACATGTAATATTTTTGAATTGTTGATTATTCTTTATACTAACGGAAAATTTATTTCAAATTATGCGTAATTATCTTTACTAATGAATACTCATGAATCTGATGGATAAAATATTTCTCTCTTTATTATGAACACTTTTTATGCAGTCCTTTTTCCAGAGGTGAAGAATTTTCTTCATATGTCCCCACGCGAAGGAGGAAATTTTTGGTTTTTGGGAAGATTCTGCACCTCTACCTTTTTCTTATTCTAAGGCCTTCTATTATTCATCTATAATAATCAAAATTTAATTCGAGATTAGTTTCTTCGTTTTACAACCAACTTTATATCAGTCATCTAAATTACACATCTCGATTAAAGTTTTATACTTACTAGGAATGTCAACTTGAATAATATAACAAATTTGTTCCTTAATATCAAGGACTTTACAATGCATAACATCACTCATAAGTGATTTACATTCATAATGTACAGGATCATCTAAATTCCATGTTGAATGTTCATTTCCATTTAATGGACATATGTCATATAAACGACATGGAATGGCAAATGCTGGTTGACGAGTGAATTCTTGTGGTAATGAACGGATATTTGTTAATGCAATAGTTTGTTGTTCACCAAAATCAACAAAATATACACAAACTTCTTTTAAATTAAAATTTAAATCTTGATAAAAAGTAAATAAAAATCTAATTTAGATGTAAAAGAAAGAAAATAATTAAGATTAAATCTACCTAATATAGTTGCACGATGCCATACAGCATGATTATCTTGTGCAGCAACTGCTTGATCACGTTGATATTGTTGTGTAGGTATTGATATTGATTGATAATTTTGCATAGCACGTTGTAATTCTATTTGGAACTATAAATAAAAAAAAATAAAATTAAGTAAAATATTATATATTATTATTATTACTTTTGCATGACTATCTAATTTTTGACGAAGATAAACATAGAATCGACTTGGAGTTTGATAACATAAAATTTTAACTAGATTTAATTCTATAAAGTCCAGTTTTTCCATTGGTATAGCTAAAATTAAAATGAATTTAATAAATATTTTTCAAAAAAAATAATTTTGTAATAAAATACATTTATGAATAGGCATATCATTATTTTGTAATGATAAATGCTGCAATTGACAACGTTCAGTCATGACAAAATAATTCTTCAATTGTTTTATCGCAACCGTCAACTAATAACTAAATCTAAAAAAATTTAAATTATTTTTTATTAATCAATAATGTAGTTAAATTCAATAGGAATTTTTTTTATTATTAAGAATTGTAAAATAAAAATAAGAAATAGGTTTTCTTTTTGTTTATTTGTAGAAATTGTGTGATAGATCAACTTGCATAATTGAGTCATAGATAAACGTAGGCAAGTTAAACACGTGTATTTTACAAAAGGAAAAAAAACAGCACGGTTGGGAGAGAAGAAGAAAAAGAAATGTGTATAACCATTATTGAATCAGAATATATTAAGAGCGCCACAGTCAGTATGATTAAGAAACATTTCATCGTATCAAAGTTTATATTGAAAGTCTAGTATACATGAACACGACTCTTAATACGTAAAATACATATACTTTTTAAACGAGATGATTTTTATTCATAATTATTCTTTTAAACTTTTGATATTTTCTTCAAATATTTGAAGACTTGGATGATTCTCAGACGATGAATGTTGCATAATATTTAAAGCACGTTCAAAAAATATAAGTGCATTTATATGATCTCCCATTTGTTGATATACTAAGCCAATATTGTAATAAGAATCAGCAAATTCAAAATCATCTGGAGAGAGTATGTGTTGATAGATCTCTAATACTTTTTCAAAAGATATACATGCATTCGAATTATCACGTATCTCAAGATACATCAAACCGATCTTTCTAAAAGAAAAAGCTAAATCAGATTGAATTGATGGTAGATTTTTCTGGTGAATGTCAACTAATTTTTCATACGATGAAAATGCTTTTGAGTAATGACCTAGACAACGAAAGATTAAACTAATGTTGCTATAAGTAATAGCTAAGTCTGAATGATTTTCAAGTAGAATTTTCTGTTTAATACTAAGTGCTTTTTCATGATATAAGAGTGCTTTGGAATATTCATGCATATCACATATACTAAACCAATATTATTACAAGATTCAACTATCTCGATATGATCCGATGAAAATATTTTCTGTCGAATTTCATACGTTTTCATATGAAATGAAAGAGCTGTCGAATATTTTTCTATATAACCATGTACCAATGCAATATTATTGTAAAGAACAATAAACTAGGATAATTTTGTGGATGAGTTTTTCTATAGATTTTCATTGCTTCTTCATAATATAGAAGTGCTTTTGAATAATTATTCATTATTTGATAAATTGTATCAATACTAATGTATGTATCAGCTAGATTCGAATGATTTGAATGTCGGCTCTTTGGATAGATTTCTATTCCTTTTTCATGAGCTGATAATGCTCTTGAACAGTCATTCATACTACAATACACTGACCCAATATTATCGTAAGCAATAGCAAGACCAAGATGATTTCAATAATGAGTTTTCTCGTAAATTTCTATGACTTTTTCATAGTATACCAGTGATTTTGAGTATTCACTTATTTCTTCATACACCAAACCGATATTATTGTATGAAGTAATAAACTGAAGATGATTGGGAGAAAGTATGTTCTGTTTGATTTCAAGTGCTTTTAAAAGAGATAGAATAAGTGCTTCGGAATAGTTGCCTATTTTGCAATACATTGAACCAATATTATCATATTCTCTTTCTCGTATAGAAGAGTCTTGCAAACATAAATTGTCTGGTTGTTTGTCCGCAGGGTCAAAAAGACATTGAAAATCAATTTTCTGAAAAAGATATTTCTAGAGGTATTTCGATACGGAGAGTTCGAATCTGAGGTCTGTTAGGTGACCAAGGTGAGGGTTGGGGCGAAGAGGATTTAAAGGTCAAAAAAACATCGAAAATCAATTTTTCACGGTTTTCATTGTTTTTTCCAGTAAATGTGAAGAAAATGCATTTCTACCAGAAAGAGCTAAGCGAGTCCTCGGAGGAGCGTAACTTGTGCATTAGCTAAATATGGATGATTTTCTGGTAAAACTCTGTAATATATTTCAAAGGCTTTTTCGTGAAATAAAAGTGCTTTGGAATATGATTTTATGATTGATTAATTGTTAGCCAATGAAAACTTTTCTCTTTTCGTGCTAGCTCGTCGTTTTCACGTTAATTTCACATCGATATCTTTCCCTTTATTATACATAAGTAATTTTTTCATTAATAAGAAACAGTATTCATGGAGCCCTCATTATCCAGAGCATCAAATGACGTTACATTGGGAGCTGCTTCATCAAAACAAGAACCCAGGGCAAAGATAACGGCGATGTAAACGGCCTTAAATGTGGCAAACCGGTAAAATACGGCGAAAAACGGTCCTAAAACGTCACCGCAATCTGTCGATCCAGAAATGTATAGAAACAAGGGGGAAAACGACGGCCGGTTTTTGTAGTGAAAAAACGGCCCGTATTCTGGGTTGACGGATTACGGTGAAATACGACTAAAAATAAGGCAGTAAAACGCCGTTTTATAGTCGTTTTAGGCCGTTTAAGATGTCGTTTCCGATGGTGGGAATAGCCGAGCCGTCCTGGGAAGTACAGGATCCGGAACTAATCGTTAGATACACATTTCCAATTAATTACTTTTTTGCAAGTGTATGTTATATTTTAGATAAAAGATTTAGAAGAAAAACGAGAAATTTTAGAAAAACAGTTTATTGAATTTCAAACAAACAATCAAAAAAATTTCACGACTCAATGTTATTTAATTCAGAAAACATATATCGTGATCTTGAAATTAAGTCTATTACTCACAAACTGACATTTTTCTATTACTGCGTAGAATTAAAAAAAAGTAAATTTATTTTCATAGAAAAAAAACTAAAAACAAATTTTTATTTATAGGTATTACAGATAAAAGTGCCATAAAGAAATGAAGAAGAAAAAAAGATCACCTTAAGGGTGTGGATGTGGGTGTAGAAAGGATAGAATACCTACACCCCCCCCCGACTATGCAAAAATATACCAGAATATGCAATAAAATGGAAACAACGGATCGACATTCAAAAATCGGTCGTACAAATCTTCTACTCGCAAATAGAACGCTTAGGGATGAAGATCTACAGGGAGGGACAAGCGCTAGGGATCCTTGATAAATTTAAGTATTTAGGCTTTACTTGGATCGGCAAAATGTCACTGAAATCTACAGTCAATCGATGTCTATCGAAAGTTGACAAAGCGCTCGGAAAGTTGATTGTAAGATACACATTTCCAATTAATTACTTTTTGTAATTATATGCTATATTTTAGATTGCATATTTAGAAAAAGAACGAGAAGAAAAAGAAAAAGAATTCAATGGTTTTCGAGAAAATAACAAATTTTGGTGATAAAATTTTATATAATTTACAATACATATATCGTGATCAAGAAATTAAAAGCATTACTCACAAACTGACATTTTTCTACTACCGCGTAGAGTTAAAAAAAAAGTAAATTTATTTTTCTAGAAAACAACGAAAAAAAAAATTTTATTTACAGGAAGTTAAAAACATGTTTATTCAAAAAAAAGAGCCATATTTATATCTAACATCGTGAATATAAACTGTTTGTTTTTACTTCATCAATAAATAAAGTCTAAAGAAAAATGGTCAAGTGACTCTTATTGTATGTACATCTAAATATATTATATAGAAATCTCGATTAAATAGAAAATTTTTATGGTATGAAATGTTTTATATCAAATAATAGAAATGTTCAAACTTTGATCGAAACTAAAAATGCCACAAGTTGAAGGAAAGACTTCTGCATATTTCTTTTTTGCTAACAACATTCAATTTCCATACAAATTCAAAGTAATGTTTATTATAAAAAACGAAAATTGAAGAGACCAAAGATTTTGATATACTAGCTTATTCACTAAATACAAATCATGGATAAGATAAGATCAGATCCTTAATAGGATATTACACAAAATATCTATTCAATGTTAGAATCTCATTGACTGTATTTCCCTCTTTCAATGCACCGGAATACTAATAAAATATAACATTTCCCGCGTGTCTCTTGTCCATTTATGAAATTGATTAAGTACTAACAACGACACCTTTATTCAATATCTCTCAAAACCACTCTATTTGTAGTATTTTTCGTTCTACTTTTTTTTAGTCTTTCCCGATATTTCAACTTTGGAACCAAATTGAACCTCCCGATAAATAAGCAAAAGTCAATATGAAGTTACAATATACACGAAATATTTTGCAAAGTATTCTTAATTTAATCTATTGAAAATAACATTTAGTTTTAACTTTCTTCTATATATATTACATCACCACAAAAGAATTAATGATAAACAAACATTGTTTTTAACAAAACTACATGAAATGTAAGTACAAAAAAAGAGTTGCATGTTGTAGCCAACGAATGACCAAAATAGAAATGATAAGCAAAGAAACCATTATATTCGCTAAGCTGCAGCGTTTGGTGCTTCGAATCGACGTATTGGCGCTATTGGCTCAGACATACGTCGAGCATAAAACCATCTCTGAAAATAAACCAATATCAATGTCGATTAAACACAATGAAAATACACCATGATTTACCTATTTTTACTGTTTTTCTCCAAAATATCGCATTTTTTATTTTTATATAAAACGATACAGGTTTTACTACTTCTACGAGCTATAATAGTTTTCATTTCATTTATTCCTTATCGTCACCAACAGTTTAGTAAATTTCTAAGCTCTCAAAAAATATATTTATGCATTTCCATTATTTTGTCTCAGACTATTTTAACTCATCGAAGAGACGAATCTTGCTGGCTTTTCCACATCTGCAATAAATGTTGACTTTTCTATGTAATAATCTCATTGAAGTCTGATTTAGCCAAGCTCTTTTACTTACATCATACATTAACAAAATATCTTAAAACCTGATTCTCATGGCTGCAACAAAAGTCTAAATAACTCAATTCAAAAATTATAATTAACTGCTCTGCTTGTATACCAAACAGACGATCTCATTCAACAGTTCCTAAAAACATGTTTTCCATAAATCTCTTGAATCTTCCATTGGAGGTATTTGTGTTACCACTTAAATTGATTTAACTCATTCCGGTAACAATGAAAAACCTCACCATCAAACTAACAAGCTTAGTGTAATAGCCCGTGCTGCTTTTCCGAGAGAGAAAAACCTGAATTTTAGGATATTTACTGTATATATAAGATCTTTAAAATTGGCCACTGTAATCGACTTAATGTATTTTTTATTGGTTTAAAAAAGCTCGTCGAGCTGTATTAGAAAAAGTGTGTTTCAGATTTTAACAGGTTTGAAAAGTTTTATCAAAAACTTCGCTTTACGATTACTTTTGAATACTAGACGAAACAAATGCGAAATCCAGATCTTCGTAAAACAGTTTTTAAAATTCATTTTTAAATTTCGTGACTTTTATGGAACTCTGCGATCTCGAATCAATTATTACAAAACAATACATTTCTTCGGTCGATATATTGCATATATACCTAATGAACTCAACTGACAACACAAATACCTCCATTTTCATATCACTTAGGAGGTAATCTACTTCTTGTTCGAACGAAATACTCTGGTAATACTGAATGAAATAGGTATCATTGCAAGATAATTCATTTTTGATGCTTTTAGAGCTATACTAACTACTCAGTCAAAGTAAGAATTAGATCGAATGAGAATTGCGCAATTCGATGAAGTAATAAACGTTTTACCCAAATGTGTAAAAATATAAAAGTTGCTCAAGTTTCGCAAAAATCTAGTAACCTAGTAAGAATATCAGAATCATACTGTATACTTACCATCACAAGCGAAGTAAAATAAAAATTCGCAGCATTCCATTGTTTGGCTATTTCTTCGGCTTCCGGCCATCTTGGACGGTTGTTTATTGCGTAATCTAGTTTAATCAATTTGATATTTAGAGAATAAAAATATAACATAGATACACTTACAATAACGTAAATATTGAAGTTGTTCGTCATTTAGTTTCTTTTCCACTTCTGCTAACTCTAAATAAATTATAAGTGCCTTTCAGATTGTTCTCAAAATGTTGAAAATAATGCAAGTGAATTTTAAAGTCGATAAAACTGAATATAGTTTATATTTAACGTTCATTCTTATCATTATTAGATTCCCACGAAAAAAATGTCTTCGATTTAATTTTTTTCGAATTATCATTAAAGGAATCATTTCTATAAGTCGTTTTTTTCTTCTCTTTTTTAAAACCATGTATTACAAATAAAATAATTAATCAGCGTGAGGTTACTTATAGGTACATATCAATCGATGACGGTATTATAATGAAAATGAAAGTATCTCTTCATCACAAAATCATTTTTACCTATCGAAGCGTATTATTATGCTGAAGCTTCGAGAAAATATCAAATGTTCAAACAATTAAAACTTAAGTGTTTTCTTATGAAATGTTAAAGTAACTGAAATCGTTGAATAGTAAACTGATTTTGTATTATTGTTCATATCTCTACACAGTTTCTACATAAAAACTCCGAAGTTTGTCGAATACATTCATCGTTAACGAAGTTGATCGTTAACAGAAATAATTTTCTAGTATCTGTTATATACCTGCAGTTACAGTTTATTCATAGATGTACTGATATTATTAATTATTAAGGATAAAAAATATTAAAGTGAATAGGCATGCGTGACCACCATTCATACTATTCTAAGGAAACAATAATAAAGTTTTTAGTTTTATAGATGACTTACGTGCAGTGCATACAGTAAAATAGTGACTACTCAAGCTAAAGTAAGCCATGAGAAAAGTCAATAAGATTCGACTTATGAATGCTATACACTACGATATTGATATTTTACTTTTGAGTAATAACTGTTAAATCAATATATATATGTATATATATATATATATGTTGCCCTCTGGGTATCACATGGCCTAAATGTTCAGGAGGCAAACGTGTCGAGCTTTGTTACACGAATAGACGCATCAGGCGAGTATAGGTTCCATTCACACTGAAAAAAATACGGCGAATTAAGACCGAATTGACGAATAAGTCATCTTTTTTAGACGATTTAACTCTTAATGCACTAATTACATAGCTTAATTCAACTTTAGCATTAATTCACTTTTTCAATCTGATTGATGCCATAGACACTATTATGTGCAAACATTTTAATGACCCTGATGAGGAGGAAGAAAAAGTGCACCACATGTATATGAATATAGAGAATACATTAAACAAATATATCTGATAGCTTCTGTACGATTGAGTCGTCAAGGAATAAATAAGAATTCATTTTTTTATTTTCAGTTTAAGCCGATATGCATTTGAAACTGAGACTGATTTACAAAACAATCCAGATAATATTTATTTGAAAAAAATCAAAGAAATATTTGCTCGAAGTTTTAGATAAAATATTTTTGCTAAATTTTCTCAACTTGCTCGCGAACTGGGATGTATTATTGACAAAAATCTTTTTTTATATGAATGCTGCACGAGTATTTATTAATATTCATATTCTATTTTTCAAAACTGAAAAACAATTATCTGAGTTTACACTTTTATGGTTTTTAAATTGACTAAATCTAATTATTGAGCAGAGAAAGCAGACATGAACTTCACGTATCGATATTTTACAATTAATGTTACAAGTTATAACTGATGAAAAATTGCAGATAAATACAGTTCAAAATTTTTAATAATAATTTTTTTAATTCTGTGAATTTTGTAGGGTAATACACAAGATATTAGTAAAGCTAAGTATCGACTAACTCGAGACGATATAGTTGCTCAAATGCTTTATACGAATATGTTTATTTATGAAGTGTTAAGAGGGCATCCAATTGCTAATGAAGCTACTCAAAGATGCGCTGTTTAAGATACAATTGTACAGGAAATTACAGTTGAAAAAGTTATGTAAGGATTTTTCGTGAGCTGATCCACTACTTTGACAACTCTTTGTAGGCACTTTTACCCATACAGATATCTATTCAATTCATTTTATTGTTGAACTCTGGAGGACCTGAAGGTTCTAATGTATTTTATTCTGAACGTTATTAAACAAAACGTCATCCAATAGCTTATTTAACATTTGGAGCAGGATCAATGGAATGCGTTTTTCATCGTTGATAATCGGTATATAAATGTATTCCTATCTAGATCTATGTTCATTATTCGTTGGATATTTTTCTTATCTAAAATCAAACATTGATATATAAGCTTGTCTTTGTTATCAATAAAAAATTGAATCCATTTACTTGATTAATAATAGAGATATTCAATTTTTTTTCCGATAAAATGATTTTTGCCTCACGCTATAGGCAGTATGTGATTATGTTTAATGAAAAGCAACAAAAAAAGCACGATCACAACAAGTTTCAAACGTTCAGATCACTTTGATGTGTATGTTTTCGTCTTTCGAATAGTAGTCTCACTCATTTTATTGGTTAGCATCCATTTGAAAGAGTTGTTGCCAATCAATATCTCATAAAATTCTTTCTTATAACTTGTCAATGGTAGAACATAGAAAATAAAATCAAGAATTTGTGGAGTATATGAAAGTAAATAAGAACAATTCAAGTATTTCTATTTTTATCTATGTATAGGTCTAGTTGGACCTACACACCATCCTCTATGTGAAAAAATGAGGACATAAATAAATTGCTCAAGATCTTGCACTTTCAGAATACATTTTCATATTTTCTGTAAAATATATTTATCTTATTTAAAAAGTTTATTTTATATTAAGAATGAAAAATTACAATAGTATATATATATCCTCTTTTTTTTGATAATTTTAAATCATTTACATTAAATTAAAAAAATTCAATATATAGTAGTAATAGATTGGGTACAGTTGTTAATATTCAATGTGTATATTTTCTCATCCTCTTCTTTTTTTTATTGTAGTATATACAATTACTTGCATAATTATTTTTTTTCTCTATATAAAGCAGTGTTCTTCATGGGAAAAGAAGAACGAAAAAAGAAATTGCACGCATCAAAGAACAGAATGATCGTTGATTTCGCAACCATAAATATGTAAGAGGACACATGTACTGCTTCATGAAAGATATTTATTTTGTCTGTATGATATTAAGATAAAAAGAAGTATGTTGTAGAATATACTTTAAAATATTATCTCTCAATTTTTTTAGATCAATATGACAAACTATTTATGTGAAGAAGGAACTGTATGTAATAATTATCAGTCAGCTATATGTTTACATTGCAATCGTCGATTATGTATATTACATATTGCACAACATAATCAAGTTAATTCTGATAATATTCGAAATCTTTCACATGAAATTGTATTGGTTACTGGACATATTAATAATGAATATGAAAAAACCAGAGATATATATCAAACTGTCTTAGTGGATCTTGCTGAATGGCGAGCAAAACAAGTAGAAAATATTACACAAGCCTATAATAATTATTTACAACATGTTGAATCGCAACAGGAAGCGTTAAATACACTTCATTATGAGTTAATTAAAAAGCTTGATGATGACGCTCGGAAACCATTAGAAGTTATCCAAGCTCAACAAACTACTGGTGCTACCGTACTTACTCATATTGAACAAACAATACAGAAAATACGAGATCAGGCTGCACAATTACACTGGAACGTCTTAACTTTGCCATCGGTTGATGTACGATGTAACTTGACAGATACTTCGTCAACATCTTCAAAGGATATAACATTATCGAGTATGATCCGAGTAAAAACTTAAATTAACTGTGTAGTTCCACTATATTTCATACATCAGGTACTCACCGACCATCCAAAAGATTTTCTGTTAACTTCAAGTGGCCATCGCTTCGTTATATATGTCTAGGAAAATATCGTTCGTTTAGACGTCTTGTTGACATGTTTAGTGATGTATCACATATCGTACAAAGCAAGCATGACCTTGATGACTATGTTAAAGTAAGTCAATCTATTAATATTCTATTTTTTTAAAGATAATTCTTTCATAATGGAAGAACAACGCCGGTTTTCCGTTACCTGTTTTTGTCTGTTCATATCTAACAGCCTGGTATAGATGCTCTAAAATTGAACATAAATCTATCATTTTAAAAGAACATATGTCAACTATTATGAAACATATTCCGATTGATATTGATAATTATATTGCTTTAGTAGGTATACATGCATTCTTTTATAATCATACAATTTCTGAAAATAAAAGTAAATTAAAGTTTAATTCTTTATTCATAATAATAATATATGTTTATTATTCAATATAGGACAATTAATGACATTTTTATTACATTTTTTTGTTGATCATCAATGTATTAGTGTACATCAAATATCTCACTGGTATTATAATAAAGATATCAATGCTTATACAGGTTTCGATGGTGCAAAACAAATGACTGCACCATTTATTAACTCACTTTGGACAGATGAATCCAGTAAATATATTTATTATGAAAGATCATTTATAATTATATATTACTATTTTAGATTCTAATGTAAAAAAATCAAATCCAATGAATTCTACTGAAGTGAAGCATGAAAAAATGTTCTGTATAGATGAAACAGAATGAATTTATTTGAAGACTATATTTTTGTGTCATTGTTTCATTAAATTACATGTAAAACTTATAGAAACAGTAACAGATGTATAAAACGTTTTTTGTTTAAACCAATTATTAATAAATTACATATTCTAATGATGATAGAAAGAAAAAAACATAAGATGACATACAAAATCTAATCAAATAAATAACAATCGACAGTAATCGATTTAGATTTACTAGTATATATTAAACTAGGAAATCATCTTTTAACTAATATATCAGTCATTCATCGACGTTTTGAAAAACGACATTGAGATTAATTGAAACTCAGCAGTAGATGGTAATGACGAATGCAAGTGAAAATTTGCTGTTTTGATTTCAAAGGTGTGTACTTTGAAATATTCTACAATCAATTATAGGTATACGTTACGTATAATATCAGCAAAAAGTTATGAACCGATTAGTAAAATGATTTAAACTTCTACGAAATCTATACTTATCTAAATTGATTGAAAAATGCCGGTACTTATATACTATTTTCAATCTTTGCAGTAATAATCAAACATTTGAAAACTTCTCATGAATTAAGTGTCAATTTATCGTCTATATTTTATGTTGATAAATAAGTTTCTTAATTAGACATATTATCAAATAAAAAAGTCATGTGGCATTTGTCGAATCGTATTGTATGCAATATTAATAGTAGTAACATTATCGATCACTGAATAATTAAAAAGACGACTGTTTTATTTAAAATTGATAATACATATAGTTCTGTTATTAAATACATCCGTTTGATAGGAAATGATTAGTTAGGGGTGCAGAATCTTTCGTAAAAACGAAGAATTTTTCAGTATTTAAGTAAAAAAAATGAAAAGAAAGAAGAGACTACGATATGTTAGACATACTCTATCCTAATGAATATATCGGATCATTTGTATACAAAAAAATATTTTCATCTAAAAAAATTTCCTTATTATTTCCCGATATAAAAATTTTCCCGAACGCGCGTTCCCGCAAATGGGCGTATTCTGCACTCCTGTGATTAGTTTTTGTTTACTTTTTCTTTTTATACATCGGTCGTTACACATCAAATCACATCCTGACATATTGCATATATCTGTCGTTTGTACTACTAGTTATAAAAAGTATATGTAAGAAGAAAAAATGTAATATAGCAATGGCAGATATAGTGAGTAACGCATTTACTTTTCATTCAAATGAATTATACAAAAAAAACTCTTATATATCTTCGTCATATTCCACAGATGTACGTATACAGGAAAGAATACAGCTGTAGCGATTGTGAATATGAAATTATCTGTCTTATGTTATTTTCTATAATTCTCGTAAATAATTGTAGTTAATCTATAAAAATAAAGAGTTTTGATCTTAGATTTTGCCTATGAATATAAAATACAATAAACTGACTATAATTTCTCACTAATATGTTGTAAACATGAGCACATCTATATTTTTCTTAATATCAGTGGTATCGATTATAAGTTGAATGATAAAATCGAAATTTTGAAAATAGTGGTGGCAATTTCTTTGTTAAATCTAAATGATCATTATTGCTCATCTTCAGAAGAGATTAATTATTTTATACAATTATGTGTAGTATTAATGAATGTCTAAATTGTTCAAAGAAATAAATAAGGAAGACAATTTTACATATATTTTGATATAGTAAACAGCTCTAACAAAGAAATATAACTGGATAAACGATTAATATTGACAGTCGCTATCAGTGTTGCCAACTCTTTCGGTTTTTTCAGAAAAATTCCGGATTTTCCCACTTTTTTCCGGATTCTAGATTATTTTTATTGAACTAAATTATATTTATCTGTTAATACTCAATAAAATTTTTTATTTGACAACGGCTCAGTGGCTTATATCTCTTATATATTTAGCTTATTATATTCTGAATTTTGATGTTGATTTTCTTTTGATGTATTGAAACATGTGTTTTTTGAAATAATAAGCGGTATAATTGAGAACAAGATTCAGAGAAACTGATCTTAGCCGATAGAAATTAACTGTTAAAAACCTTTTCGGATTGAACAAAAAAAAGTTTCCGGAATTTTCCGGATTTTCACATTAGAATTCCGGTTTTCTGACTATGACAGTTGGTATCACTGGTCGCTATATACTATAGTCGCCTAACGTTGAATTCAGGATAAAAATTTGATTTTTTTTTAATTACGTCGTACGAATATTACACGGTCAAAAAATCAAATTTTCATTCTGCATTTGACGTCAAACTAGTATAGGTGATATATTATAGGCACATGTTACTTTTATTTTTATTTTCTTATATGCATAAAAACTAGTCATCCTTGTAGACCAATAGATGGTGTTATTTTACTGCTGTATATATTTACTTTTCGATCGTTTCTTCGTATTATATGATAAATCATTATATATCTTTCCTCTTCGATGACCATGATGTGCAATAAACACCGAGCGAACGGTAGAAGTGATTCATCTTATATAAGCAATATTATAATCGTTATATTGTAAAATTACGTTCATTAGATCATTATGAACAGATCAATCTATTGAGAAGAATTTGAATACTCTCTCCTTTCATTCAACTAAAAGGACTACGCTTCTGTTCAATCATAAAAATTTATTCAAAGTTTTTTCTCCCAGACGAATGAGGTGAGTAAGTAGTTTTTTTTACCTCTGATGATTTGCCTCACTAACGACGGTCATGTCATTTCTTTAATAAGAAAAATATAGGTAAAATGTTTCATAGACTATTTTGAGTTATTGTCTAGGAAGATAAGAAAATTAGAACGATGATAACCAGAGAGAAAATTATCGAAATTTGAAATCGATAATAAAACTACATAACTTAAGTTTTTAAGATACTGAGTGGCAAATTTTCTTGCATTACTCATACTCTGAATGTGAAACATTATATAAATAATCTAATAATATTTTTATTTCTATCAATATTTTGTCATGCATAAAGTTTGTTTTCGTTCTTTTCTTATTCTTCTCCTAGATAAGTCGAGGTATATCAATGATATTCAGTTTGTTTTTCTGTATATATCGTCTCATAATGATTTATATATATTTTATTTTTTATTAATATAGTTTTAGAATGACAAATTATAGATGTGAAGAACCATGTTTATGTACCAATTTTCAATCAGCTATTTGTTTACATTGTAACCGTCGATTATGTTTTCAACATATTACTGATCATAATCAAATTCTTTCTGTTAACATTCAAAAACTTTCGAATGAACTTAATATAACTTATCAACATTTGAAAGAAGATACTGAAAAGAATCGTATGCTATATCATGATACACTAACATCATTAACTCAATGGCGAACAGAACAGTTTACTAAAATTGAACAAAGCTATCAACGACAATTGCAATTGATTACATTGCAACAACAAGATGTACAAAATTCTTATAAAAATCTATTCAATAAATTAGAAGTTGATGCTCGAGAACCACTTCGATTATTAGAAAGTCAACCGAATTCTGTTATAAGTATACTTAATCTTGTTGAAAATACAATGCAAGATGTAGAAAAAGACCTTAAAAATATAAAATATACTTTTCCAAGATTACCAACAATGACTTTAAGACAAGATGATTCTCAACCAACAATTTCCTTAACTCATCAACCAACAAAAAAAAGAAAAATAACTTCATCAGTATCACTACCAATTACTACTGTTCATTTAAATTTTTGTCGTCCTCTACGACGACTTGTCGAAATGTTTAAATTTATATCACCAGTAGAAGAATCTAAAAATCAGATTAACATTTACATTCGTGTAAGTTAATTAATAATACTTTATATATTCTTATCTCTTTTTTATTATTATTAGAATCAACGAGGATCTTTTGAATTCTCTAATCTTGTATGTTCATATCTAGCAGCTTGGCATAGACACCAGAATATAAACACGAAAGTTGCTTTTCTTACTGCACACTTATCAACTATTCAACAATATTTCTTAAGGCAAAAAACCGATTTTGATATTATTGTTGCTATACAAGGATTTTTTTATGATATCTTAATGAATGAGTCCAAATACACATTCCAATCGATATTCAAGAAAAATATAAATAATTATATTCCAGCAACAGAAATGATGACATTTCTACTACAATTTTTTCTCAATCATCAATTTATCAATCCAACTACTGTACTTACTTGGTATAATGATAAAACAATGATTTCATATGAAGGATTTGAATTTGTTAAAGATTTAGCTATACCATTTATTGAATCGATTTCAGTACAAAGAACAGGTAAATTTGAATATCAATATTATGTCTATTAATTATTTATTCTAGTTGATAATACTCCACCAATTACAAGTGCTATCAATCCGACTGAACATAAGCCCAACATATCAGTTAAAGATGAAGCACTTTCACCGAATGGACGTTGAAAAAACGAACTAAACTTTTGATTTTTGTTTTTCATTAGAATAAAATCGTTTATATGTTTTGCTATATAAGCATTGAAATAGACAATTCTCTTTTCGATCTATGCATTACATCAAATAGAATAGAGAAAATATTTCTACTATAAAAACTCGATTTTTGTTTTTATTGTTTGAATATGAAAAAATCTCCTATAAAAAAGGAATTTAAGTGCTATTAGAATTCATGAAGCATGTCAAAAATGAGGTAGACATGGTACGAGACTTTGATACGTAAGGTAAAGAAGAAGAAGAAAAAGAAAAACAAATAAAAAGAAATACGACACACCGGACTATATCAATATTCATTATAAAAAAAAACTCGATGCTTATTGTCAAGAATTTTGGTTTTTTACATCAAACCAAACAATGACGATTGATTAGCATACATCATTGGTCGAACGGCTGGATGTGATACAGCTGTATAGGATGTAAATTTTGGTGTTACATTATCACCAGTTATAGTTATAAAAGCACCTTTATTTCCCATTGTATCACAATAATTCGGTGCGGAAAAGATAGTAATACATTTGTCTAAAATAAATTTAAATCTATATATGAAAAA